AGCCCCAAGCCAGAACAGAGGGTTGAGGGTGGCATCATCCATCGTCGATACCGCGGCGAGCTTGCAAAACTCCCCGGCATACTCGTAGAAGGGGAGATCCCGGCGAGCGAGGGCGGAGAAACACACAGCCGATTGCATGCCATGGGGAGAAACAAGGAAAAAACAAAACAAAACTCTTCAAAAACAGAACTAAAACGGGGAGAGGGGGCGCCGCTTGCTGAATCCGTTTGGGGTCCGGTCTTCTGTAACGGAAGAGGTCTGACGCAACAGGTTAGTATATCAATCAAGTTTATTTGGTCACAGAGAGTACGGGTGTAGGATCCAGGTGATGACACAGTGAGTGTATAGTTCGTAGAACAGTTTAAAGGATATGATGAGTGGAATGATCAGAGTCCTTTCCTTTACAGGAGCTGGAATGCACACGGAAGAGCACACACCTCAGCGATCCAGGAACTAGGAGGAACAGGAGACACTTGGAGACGAGGAGACACTAGGAGGAACACAGGAGGTAAGTAATGCAGGAAGTATTCAAATGTAAGCAGTAGTAAAGTCAGAGAGTCCTCTACGTGTGTACGAGACCGGACAATGAGGGTGTCTGAGGTGTGTGCTTTTATGCAGGCTGGTTGATGAGGTGCTTGATTGGTGACAGGTGCGTGTAATTAGTGCTTAGGTGAAGGTGTTTGCTGTGATTGGGAGGTGACTGAGTCTGGCTGATCTGTGACAGTTTCCAGCGTGTTTGATTTTGTTACACTTTCTGATAGGGATGTAACGATTCACCGCAAGCTGGTTGAAAATCGATACAAATATGTTACGAATCAAATTGGTTGAGATGTTAAACGAATCGCTATACATTTTGGGGGTGGGAGTTTATATGAATGTATCTCTGAGGGGAACTGACTGTCTATAGAAAAGTTTAGCAGATATTTTCTTTACATCTCGTCTCTGTATAATCCATACTACAGTAGTGTTCATAAGCGCTGCACTGCTTTGTTTACAGCGGTAGCCAAGGAAACGCTGTATCTGCTGTTCCATGAGCGCCTCCTGCTTCATGCAGATATTTTATGTAGTATAGTTTCACAAAACTAAAGTCAGAGCATTCTGTTTAGCGTTCTAATCTTTCAAATTATACAATCTAATTCCATCTTTAAAGTATTTGGGACGTGTCCTTTTTCATTTGTTTAGTGTGTATAGGATCTAGCATATATATTGTTGGATTTGATGTTTTACTGTCTGAAGGCTTTCATGTCTTGGTGCAGTTAAACTGGTGTTCACTTGTTTTTGTTTCTTTTCACCCTAGACCTGATGCCACTGAAAGAGGAGAGTCAAGAACTGAATGAAATGGAAGAGAAAGATGATTTCATGACTGGGGAAAAATCTTTTACTTACTCGCCGACTCAAAAAACAGAAACCAGAAACCTTGAATTCCAGATGAGTGTTCACACTGGAGAGAAGCCTTATGTCTGCCAACAGTGTGGAAAGAGTTTCATTCAAAAAGACAGCCTTAAAGCCCACATGAAAATTCACAGTGGAAAGAAGCCTTACACCTGCAAACAGTGTGGGAAGAGTTTCTCACTAAAAGTAAACCTTACCAGTCACATGAGAATCCATGCTGGAGAGAAGTTATTCATCTGCTCTCAGTGTGGAAAGAGTTTTAAACAGAAAAAGTACCTTAATGCCCACGTGACAATTCACAGTGGAGAGAAGCCTCACACCTGCAAACTGTGCGGGAAGAGCTTCACGCGAAAAGAAAATCTTACAATTCACATGAGAATTCACACTGGAGAGAAGCCTTACATTTGCCAACAGTGTGGGAAGAGCTTTACACAAAAAGAAAGTCTTAAAATTCACATGAGAATTCACACCGGAGAGAACCCGTTCATCTGCTCGCAGTGTGGGAAGAGTTTCAAACAGAAAAAGTACCTCAATGGCCACATGACAATTCACACTGGAGAGAAACCGTTTGTTTGTGATCAGTGTGGAAAGAGTTTCAGCTATAAAGCGCACCTTGATCTTCACATGAGGATTCACTCAGGAGAGAACTGTTTTATATGTCATCAGTGTGGAAAGAGTTTCTCACACAGATCAAACTTTGATAATCACTTAAGAATTCACACTGGAGAGAAGCCTTTCACCTGCCCTCAGTGTGGAAAGAGCTTCATGACGAAAGGAAACCTTAAGATTCACATGAGAGTTCACACTGGAGAGCAGCCTTACAAGTGTGTTCAGTGTGAAAAGAGTTTCACATATCACACAAACATGAAACGGCATTTGCAAACTCATTCTGGAAAGAAATTCTAAACCTCATGTCACACTGAGGAAAATGGCAATTTCAACAATCATCTGCAAATTCACTCTGAAGAAAGACAATTCAGTTGTGATCAGTCTAATTAAAACATCACATTAGTATATTCATATGAAAAATCATGTAAATGGGAGAACCTGATTGTGTTCTTTGTTAAGTCCTATTCGGACAGGATTAGTTTTACATGGAGAGGTGGGATAAAAAAAGTATTACCAGAGCTTCTCAGTGATTTTAGTCCCATCTAAATGTGCAATGTCTGTAAAGATTACAGCGACATTCTCTACAAAGATCAGGGATCCCACACTTGGCCACATGTCCTTTCCTTTCCTAATCCTAGCTTTCCACGGTTTTTACAAGTATGGAGGCACTTGAAAAAGCATTCAGTTGCATTCCAGGCAGTGGGACAAGTCTGTGGCAAACCTCAAGTGTTTTCAGCATTCAGATCAATAAGGTGGTCAAAAGCACTTGTTAGAGGCACAAAACTTCTTTTAGCTTTAGGTAAGTGCGTATTACCGACAGCATCCTGTCACGAATCCGGTCTATAAACTTCCGTTCACTCACCACCAGACCAGAGGTCACCCGCTCTATGGATGGACTCTCACACTACACAGACTGTTACACATCACTCTGGACTACATTTCCCATGCTCCATTGCACTAATCACAAGCTCACCTGAAACCAATCACACACAGCTGCTACCAATAACACACACTATATAAATCTCACGTCACCATTCAACGCAGAGTATTGTTTAGCGTGTATCCCTGCTATAGCTGATAGCTACCTTACGGAGCCTGATTTAAGTTTCCTAGTCTTAGCTTAGTCTTGCCTTGTCTGTGTTTTCTCGTGTTCTGATCATTGCCTGTGTACTTTGGATTACCTCTCTCGTCTTGCCCTGTTCGGATACTGTTTGCCCCTGCCTGGACCTTTGCTTTGTGCCTGGATTATCCCTCTAGTCTCGCCCTGTTGGATTACGTTCGCCGTCGACTGACCCACGCTTGTTTACCTGATTGCTCTTGCCTTGTCTTCTACATACCAGTTTGCCATTGTCTGACCCATGCCTGTTTCTGACCACGTCTCCTAAATAAAGCTTGCAAATGGATCCGCACGTCTCGTTCGTCCCTTAACACATCCAATCAGAATAATTAATTTAAATAATAAATTGTTTGAGCAGACCTAACTGTTTTATATACAGTATATACAGTGTTGTCCAAGTTACTTCCAAACTGTAATACATTATAGATTACTTGTTACTG